ACGGAGGCGAACCTGGCAGCTGCATCGCGCGGGTCCGCACCAGGGCCGCCGAGGGCCAAGCGGCGACGACTCGCACCTCTTTGAAGGGGCCCCAGGACACACAAATAAATACACACAAATAAAATGATCCCCCATATTTTCCTACATTTTCTGTTTTTTTTGTCTTCCCCCCCCCACTTCCCATATTTTCCCGTATTTTCCTGGGGATCGACGATTAATTGTGTCTGTGTTTTTTCCCCTCCTGACTCTTCTGGGCCCGCACCCGCGCCGGGCGCCACGCCCGCGGCCGCGGCCGGCCTGCCTGCCTCCGGCCGGGCGCACGCTGCTGCAGCACACACGCGCCCCAGCAGGCCGCAGGCGGCCGCCGCCCCCAGTGGTGGACACCTTCGGGCGGCCGCCTCGGGGCGCCCTGCTCCCCTCGGGAGCGGCCAAGAGGGGGGTGTCCAAGAGGGGGGGGGTGCAAATCATGGCCGGCGGCATGTGCGCGGCCCAGCGGGGGGGTCAGGAAGGTAATGAAATAAGAAGAGGCGCCCTGAAATCTGGGAAAATATCATGGGCCCCGCCATGATAGCCACCCCCCCCTAGTCATCAACCCCCCTTTTTTGCCCCCCTCCCCCCGACCCCGCGGCCCGCGGCGTGCATGGGCAGAAGTCCCGGAAAGGCTCGCGGTGGCTTTCGCTGCCGCCCCCCACAGGTCCAGGCGCCGCCGGCGCCACGTTGGGAAGACCTCCGCGAGGCCGAGAGCTCTGCCTCAAAGCACTCGCGCTGCGTAGGGCCGCGAGGGCGCGGTCGCCGCCGCGGCCGCTGGACACACCAGGTGGTTGGCGATGCCCCGCGCCCACGAATGACTCCGGCCCAGAGCGCATGGTCCCGGTGTGGATGCCACGACCATGGACACCCTTAATAGACCTGTCATTGAATTTAAACATGTGTTTAAAATGTCGGAGAATGTTCTATACATGTTGAAAACATGTGTTTACATGTTTACAACATGTTGAACACATGTTTTGGACATCTGGCAATTAGTTGGCAACATGCTTCCTCTCCATCGATCGTCCTCACAAGCTTAGGGGGTCTGGCTGGTTGGTCGATCCTCCCGCGCCACGAATTGACTCGGCCAAGAGCCCGATGGTCCAGGAAGGGCTCTGCGAGGCAAGGATTTATTCCATATCCACCGCCTTGGGAACCGAGTTCTCAGGGCCCCGCAGGCGGGGATATGAATATATATATATATATATACAAACACATACATATAGATACATACACATACATATACATATACATATACATATACATATACACATACACATACACATACACATACACATACACATACACAGACACACATACATACATACATACATACATACATACATACATACATACATACATACATACATGCGTACGTACGTACATACATACATACATACATACGTGCATGCATACATGCGAAGTACGTACGTACGTACATACATACATACATGTATACGTACATATATACATATATACATACATGCACATACATACATACATGCATACATACATATATACACACATACATACATACATACATACATACATACATACATACATACATACATACATACATACATACATACATACACACATACATACATGCATACATAAGCAAGCATTGCATGCTGGCATGCATGCATTACATACATGCATGCATGCATGCATGCATGCATGCATACATACATACATACATACATGCATGCATACATACATACATACATACATACATACATACATACATACATACGTGCATGCATACATACATACATACATACATGCATGCATGCATGCATGCATGCATACATACATACATACATACATACATACATACATACATGCATACATGTGTGTATGTATATAGCAGCCCCTGGGGCACGAATACGTCCATATCCACCCGCCTGCCCAGGCTCCGAAAACTGACCCTCCAGGCGGTGGTCATGCATAAATTTCCGCCTCGGCGGCTCGACGCTGAGCGCATCGCCCTGCTCGGGCAGACGCCCCGGAGCGCGGAAGAGCACGCGCTCCAGGGCAGCCCGAACTCGGCCAGCCCCGGGCCAGGAGGCGGAGCTGCCGGACGCGTTACTGTGCTGCTCCCGGCGGAGCTGCAGGCGGCGACCGTCGGGCCGGGCGAAAGGGGGGGATAGCAAAGGGGGGGGGTTGAGAATCAGCTCACGTAGCTGATTTTCCCGGCGCCTCCCGGCGTCGGAGGCGGCCATGTATCGAGGAACGGGCCCCTCGTTGGGGCCGAAACCAGCTGCACGCAGCAGATTTTGTAACCCCCCCTTTCCCTATCCCCCCCTTTCGTCTGGCCCGAGACCGTGACGGAGCTGGTGCCTGGGTGCGCATTGGCCGTCCAGTCGGTGGTTGGCGGTTCCCTGGCCCGCGTCGATATCATCGATTTGCCCCCCAGAGCAGCGCGCCACGCTAGCGGCGGCACGGGCGGCTCTTCCAGCAGCCCATGGGGTGGCCACTTGCCTCGACGGCGACGTGAACTTCCAGCTGCACGTGCCGCGGGACGGGGAAGAGGAGCTGGCTGCAGATTTCCATGCTTTCCTCTTCTCGCACGGCCTCACCGCGGTCACGGGCGCCGCGGTCACGCGAAGCGGAATGCGCGGTGGCACGGCTCAGCTCGACCTCGCGGCGGCGCCGCTGCGAAAGGCGTAGCGCTGGCGACCCCATTTGGCATGGAGATTGTCCCTCTCCGACCACGCCGCCGTCCTCGCAGGTCCTGAGATGCAGCAGGGCACGGCGGCGCGGGCTTCAACACCGGCCACGTTCAAAACCACCCAGGAGGCCCTGATGGACCTGCGAAGGCGGCACGCGCTGCTGGGGCAACCGTTTGACCTCCCAGACGTCGACCTCTCAGGATTGCGCCCTGCCGCGTGAGGAGACCGCCAAGCGGGCCCAAACGAAGACATCTACAGCGCGGGCCAAGAGGTTCCCATCCTCCCTGCCCTGATACGGCACGGGCGCGCCGGCCTTTCGGCTATGCAGGCCAGCTTGCGCGACGACAGGCGCGGGAGGCGCCCCCTGCCGGCCCCGGGCACAAGAGCACGCCCGCGCTGCCGCCCGCGGCGGAGCCCACGCGCCTTCCAGGCCAAATGGCGGGACGGCCGCTAGAGCAGGAGGCGCTCGCCGTCTGGCTCGCCCTGTGGCAGCGGGAGCAGCAACGCCACAGCAGAGCGTGGTTTCGGCCGCGGGCGCGCGGCGCCTCGGCGGCCAGGCCTGCGCTCGCCGAGCCCTTCCGCATGGAGCGCCAGCTTTCCAATCGCACCCACCCGCCCCGCGGCGCCCGCGATGCCGACGGCCGCAGGCACGACGAGCCGGCTAAGGTGGGGGCCGAGGTGGGGGCGGTCCTCTGGGAGGACTGGGAGCCGCTGTTCGGGCGTTGCTAAAAGTGTTCCCGGCCCAAAGTGCCCCCAGCTTTTCGCCTCATTCTTGAACCCTGGCCCCCTGTGGGCCTCGTGGGGGGGCGCCTTGGAGGCCGTCTCGGCCACCCCAAGAATCCCGGGGGCACCTTGGGCCAGGGGCACTTCCAGCAACACCCGAGCTGCGGGGCTCGGCGCCGCCCGCGCATTCCCAGATTTCTGCGCTGCTCGACGATTGTTTCCTGCACCGCGCGGTGGATCTGCCAGCGCGCCCGCGGCCGCGCTGGCGACGCCTCGCCTCCCTGGCGCATGGGCCTTCTGACTCCGCGGCCGGCCTCGACGCCGAACCCTACGAGTGCTATCACGTTGGCGAGCGTTTGGTGACTGCGCTTTTGGCGTTTCCCACCGTGCTGGGCCCATCGGTGGATTTGCTCACCTGGATACTGAAGAAGACAGATGGGGAGCATGCGAGCGACACGCAGCACCTCCAGCTGCCGACATGCTTTCGGAGGCTCTACGGCGCCACGCTGGCCTCGGACGCAGGCCCCGCCCTCGAATCCCAGTTCGCCGACGGGCAGGCGGCGGTCGCGGGCGGCTCGCGCGGCCCCAACATTGCGACTGCCTTCAGACACCCAGAGGACCTGGCCCCGCCGCCTGCCTCGCCGCCCGGCCCACCCTGGCAGGCCCTGCGAGGGCCGGACGCGCCGGCGATCGAACGCCAGCGCCGAGGTGGGGGAGGGCGACCATCGTCTGGCAAGCGCGGTGCCATGCGCGGACCTATCCAAAGCCGGGTGTCCTGGGCCTGGCTCCGGGAAGTAATCGAACGGTGGCGCCTTCCAGCCCAGGCCACCAACTGTTTTGTAGATCTCGCGGTGGACCGCTGCGTCGACGCCCTCCGGGATGGCGGGGAGGGGGGGCCCAATGCGCCCCAGATGGCCCATCGGCATGGGCGGGACCGCTTCGCCACTCATGCGGGATGTTTGCTTCGACCCGACCATCGCGGGACTGCACCACCCTTCATGGACGACGCCGCCTGCCTCGTGGCGCGGCCCCGCCAGGCCCTGCGGGCGCCCCCCCACCTGGCGCGCGCTTCCTGGGCGGCGGGCCTGCGCGTCGAGGCGCACTCCTGCGCGCACCTGCCCCTGCTGGGGGGCCCTTCTGGCGGCGCGGCGGAGACGCGCGCGGACCTCCCCGTCAACATAATGGAAAACAGTGGCGACCTGTACATCACTGGCCTGGCACCAGAGCTCGTCCGAGACGTTTTGGCAGACCAACGCGGGGAGGACGCGGAATCCGGCTGGCGAGTCCTCCCGCGCGCGCGGTTGCTCAGTCAAGACAGCACTGGCACTGGTGGCGCACCTGGACCGCCGCGCCACCCACATGGCGGCGTCGCCCTTCAGCCGGGCTGGCCATGCTTGGGCGCGGCCCTGGGCTCGCGCGCACTGGCGCCTGGCGCGCCGCGGGGGTGGTCCGCGAGCGCCCTCGCAGCGGCCCTGCGGGGATCTTGGCACCGCTCCACGGGCCGCCTTCGCGAGCGGGGCGCCGCCCTCGGAGGCGCGGTCGGCCCCCCCGGACGACGCGCAGCGGCTTGAACTCTCACCCCGCTCCACTCACTGTCACGGAGAAACCCGCGCGCGCCGGGCCCCCCTTGCCACCGGGCGAGGCCGCCGCGACCCATGCGGTGGCCACCACGGCCTTCCCCATCGGCGGCACGCGCTGGTGCCCCACGCGGGCGGCCACAAACAGCGGCCCCCACTGCGGAGCGCGGGGGGGCCCGAGATGCCCGGCGGCCGCCGCCCGCGCCACCGCGGCGGCCTTAAGCGAGTCGTCGGCGAACTGCAGGTGGCACTCGCAAAGCCGTTCCCTCCTGATCGCGCGGCTCCGCTCCACCAGGCCTAACCTGTGGAACCTGCGGCGCGCACTTTTCGGGATCAGGTCGAGCTTGACGCCGCGCTTGCCCATCAAGGCGCGCGCGCGCTTGGCCGCGCGTAAAACCCCCACGCCCCTGCGCATCGCCTCAGGATTGCCGGCCCAGCTGATCCTGAGTTCCCCGCATAGCTTCGTCTCCTTCAGGAACGTCTGCCTCGAGATCGGGCAGTCGACCTCGTCGCGCGCGAACTCGCCCATAATGGCCAGGATATGTATATCCTTCTTCTTCCACGCGACGTTGTACACGTCGGCGCAGACCACCTCGTCGAAACTCTCGGCCCTCGGCAACACTGCGACGCAAACCGCTCGGACCTGTGCCTGCCCAGGCAGATCTCGCGCTGGAAGACCCCGGCGCGCTCGATCCTGCCGGGGCACCCCCGCGCTGCATGGCGACCGCCAGCGCTGCGTTCGAAGGGTGGCCCAGGCTGACATTGGCACGCTTGACTGCTCGGATCGTCGACGCGTTGAACCGCCTCATCAGCTCCTGAATCACGTCGGCGCACTCGATGGCGTCGACGTCCTCGTGAACCTCTTCGGCCGCGCCGACGTCGCTGACGTCGTCGGCAATGCCCTGGCACGCGATCAGGTAGGCCATCCCTTTCGCCATCGGTCTCGGGAAGTTCTGAGCCTGCTTGGCGAGCTTGCCCCGCGGGATCACGCGGTCACCGGCACGCGCGCATGCCAGGATCATGCGCTGAATGAACTCCTTGTTGGTCGACTGCAGTCTCGCGGGCTTCTGGCATGGCACGTCTTTCTCCTGGATCGCGCACATTTCTCCTAACCTGCACTGGTCGAGCCTGACGTGATATCCTGGCAACTCCTCCCGTGTCTTCGTCCGCTAGCGTAGCCCCTGCCATGGGCCTTCTACACGCGCGCGTCGGTTTCCGTTGCGCTGCCTCACAAACGCAGTCAGAATCATCTCGAGAGATGTCCGCTCTTCTCGCCCCTCGGCACAATTGACCCCCTTAGCGCGCCCCTCTGATCTCCTCGTTCACGCGCTGCCGGGAGCACCAGTGCTTGCACGGGGGAGCGCAGCAGATATCGACGGCCTCGTCGTTGTCGATCTTGCTCAGGAAATCGTGGATCACGGCAGGCTTGGAGACGCCCCAACCGTCCTCGATCCTGAACTGGACCACCTCGATCTGCGGACACCTCGAGCAGCTCCTGCGACACAACACCCCTATCAACAAAGACCTGCCTCTTGCGCGGCCCGCGCAGCGCGTCCTTCATGCCAGGCGCCGCCTGCTCCAGCGCCAGGATCAGGTCCGAGTAGGTGCCCGCGTCCATCAGGTGGGGCCCCGGGCCCATGACATCTTCCGCGGCCAGGGTCTCGTCGTCGCCGCCGATCTCGTAGAACTCCGTCGGCGTCTCATGGCAAGGGGCGCCGGGGTCAGGCGCCAACGAGCCCCCGTCGTCGCCGTCGTCGCCCTTAAACGAGTTTCCTTCAGTGCCCTTGTCCGTCGAGTCGCTGCTCCTGTCCTCGCCGTCGGCGGGGGCCCCCTCGTTCGCGGCGCCGTCGGCGTCGCGCCCAGCTCCACCCAACAGGTCGATGATGAAATGACCCATCTCGTCACGCTCGTGCTTCATCCAGCCCTTGTTGGGGAGATCCCTCATCGCGAACACTCCGGATCGGCAGTCCTGGATCAAGCCCCACTCTTCCACGCAGTGTCGCGCGATCAGCAGCGGCGCCCAACCTTCGACGACATCGAGCGTGATCTGCTTCTTGGCGCCGAACGGCCACACCGTCAGCGCCACCGCTTGCTTACGTCTTGCCATCTCCGAACCGGACCTCACGCAGCAAATGCGTCTTACCGTCTTGCGTCGATCACCCTTGCTGCACTCGACCTCACGCAACAACTGCCTCGAACGAAGTAGCTCCTCCCACTGCGCCCGCGCACACCTCGTCGCCCGCGACGGGCCGCGCGGCGCCTCTATCGCTGATGCTTTCGCCCATGGTCAGCAGGAAGACTTCCTCGGTCCAGTTGGCACACTTCAGCGTCTCAGCACCCCCCACCACGCGTGCCTCGTCGTCGGGCCTGGCGAAGCCTCCGCGCCTGAAGCGCTTGAACCTCGGGCCGCGCTGCTGGGTCGCACCCGACGCAGTCGACCCCGCCGACGATGATGGCGCACCCTTGCCAAACGCTCCCGTCTGAAACTGGAAAGCCTCTCGTCGCGTTGGGCCAAATGCTTTGCCGCGTCCTTTACATGTGCCACGTCCTTTGCCTTCGCCAGCGCCTGGCATCGTCGCTCTCGCGGGCCTCGCGCGGCCGTCGCGCTGGCAGTTGTTCCCGGGCACGAGGGCGATGATCGGACAGAAACCTCTGGATTTGGCGATTTCCGCCAGACGCTTCTTCGCATCCGCGAAGCTGAGGTAGGCCTCGTCGCGCGCCACTCGGGCCTCCTCGACCACCTGCGGCAGCTCCTCCGCGACGTCGGCCTCCTCGTCGTGCCCCTCGTAGTCGCACCCCTGGTCGCCCTCATACTCTTCTTCCTCCAGGTACGAGACTTCGCAGCCCAGGCCTCGCCCCCACTCGTAATCGCCCGTGCATTTCACGTCGCCCTTTAAGCTCTGACCGACCAGCATCTTCTCCACTCGTTTCACGTCGCGCTTGTCGGGCATAGCTTCGGCCCCGCACGCGCCCAGCAGGGCCTTCTTCACTGTCGTCCAGCCAGAGGCCGCCCACGCATTGACTACGAACCTGGACGGCGCCCGACGGGGGAACAGCCACTCGCGCGAGGAGGTGCCAGCCCGCCAGCACACCTGGGATCTCTATCCCAACCTCCGTGATTGAGCCTCCTGAACCCTCTCCTGTGGCGAAGGCAGCACAGCTTCATCGCTTCCTCCTCGTGGCGAAAACTCGGTCTGGTTGTCGAACTTGTGGTACTCGTCCAGCACCTGGAACAATGGCCTGAAAGCTTCTTTTGTCTCTAGCAAGTCCAAGTCGATGTCCCCCGTAGCCTCTGCGGCCTAACCCCGCAAAAAGTTCATGACTAAGAACGCTCCCTTGCTTACTGCGGTGGTGCTCCGTTTCCTGCAGCAACGCTCGACGACCTCCAGCTTCCGTCGAATGCTCGATAGCCGTCGGTCCTCCGAAACTCATCGCTCGGCGCCGTCTTGGACAGGCCTGCGCCTCGGCGTCGCCCTCCCCCGTCCCAAGTGGAGCTCTCCTGTCGGGCCCACCAGCCCCGCCAGCCATTCCAGTCCGTGTAATTGGCCTCGTCGCCATCCACGCTGCTCGGGGGGACGCGGCTGCCCTCCGCGCCAGCGTCGGCGGGGGCAGCGGCAGAGGCTGCCAGCGGGCGCGGCGGCTTGGCCAGGGGCGGCGCGCGAGGCGCGCCGTCTGGCATGGCGGCGACGGAGGAACCAGAGAAAATGGACCCCCAGCTCCATTACCAACATCCGCCGATGGCAGCACACGAAGTATCCTCGTGATACGTTCGATGAAACATATTATTTTGGTAACCGCACCAGTTCGTAGGATACGCAACCTGTTACCTGACCCAGGGGCCCCTGAACATCAAATGGCAATGGTACACACATTTGTGAAGCAGCTACTTGCAACACATCATGCTATGCCGAAACTGATGAGCTGTGCTAATACATAAGGCAACGTATACATAACTTGGTAGAACGGGGGATATATTGACAATCCCCACACACACATACCACCCAGCGCAGCGCTTCGTGGCCCCATACGGAGGCCCACCGAAGGTCCAAGCGCTACCGCCCGCACGCGCCCCACACACACACACACACACACACACACACACACACACACACACACACACACACACACACACACACACAGAACAGCGCGCCGTGGCCCCGTAGGGAACTCCACCAACGGCCCCATCGCTACCGACCGCATGCGCCCCCCCCCAACCCAGTACAGCGCTTCGTGGCCCCATAGGGAGCCCCACCGAAGGCCCAATGCTACCGCCCGTATGCGCCCCCCCACACACACACACACACACACACACACACACACACACACACACACACACACACACACACACACACACACACAGGGCACAGCGCTTCGTGGCAGAGGGAGCTCCGCCGAAGGCCCCAGCGCTACCGCCCGCATGCGCCCCCCACCACCCAGTGCTGCGCTTCGTGGCCCCAAAGGGAACTCCACCGAAGAAGATCTTCACGATCGCGGTGCCCACGACTGCATATGGTTGGGTCCTTCGCCAGAATATTGCCCAACCATCCTGTGGTGTTGGGTCCTCGTTTTGAAGAGACGGTCCCCGCGTTCTCCCCTCCTCCTCCTCTGCCCTCTCCTCCTCCCTCCTCCCCCTCTTCCCTACGCTTCACCCACCCAGTACAGCGTTTCGCTGCTCAACAGGGAGCTCCAACGAAGGCCCCAGCGCTGCCGCCCGCATGCGCCCCGCACACCCAATTCGGCACACCCCTCACACGCTTCGTGGCCCCATCGGGCGCTCCACCGAAGGCCTCAGCACTGCCGCCCGCATGCGTCCCGCACACCCACTTCGGCAAACCCCTCACACGCTTCCTGGCCCCATGGGGGCTCCACCGAAGGCCCCAGTGCCGCCGCCCGCATGCGTCCCGCACACCCATTTCGGCACACCCCTCACACGCTTCGTGGCCCCATAGGGAGCTCCACCGAAGGCCACAGTGCTGCCGCCCGCATCCGTCCCGCATACCCATCTCGGCACACTCCTCACACGCTTCGTGGCCCCATAGGGAGCTCCACCGAAGGCCCCAGCGCTGCCGCCCGCATGCGTCCCGCACACCCATGTCGGCACACCCCTCACACGCTTCGTGGCCCCCATGGGGCGCTCCACCGAAGGCCCCAGCACTGCCGCCCGCAGCCCCGCACACCATTGCGGCACACCCCTCACACGCTTCGCGGCCCCATGGGGCGTTCCACCGAAGGCCCCAGTGCCGCCGCCCGCACGCGTCCCGCACACCCATTTCGGCACACCCCTCACACGCTTCGTGGCCCCATTGGGAGGTCCGCCGAAGGTCCCAGTGGGTGCGCCCGCAACTGCCGCCCGCATGCGTCCCGCACACCCATTTCGGCACACTCCTCACACGCTTCGTGGCCCCATAAGGAGCTCCACCGAAGGCCCCAATGCTGCCGCCCGCATCCGTCCCGCACACCCATTTCGGCACACTCCTCACACGTTTCGTGGCCCATAGGGAGCTCCACCGAAGGCCCCAGTGTTGCCGCCCGCATGCGTCCCGCACACCCATGTCGGCACACCCCTCACACGCTTCGTGGCCCCATAGGAGCTCCACCGAAGGCCCTAGTGCTGCCGCCCGCATGCGTCCCGCACACCCAATTCGGCACACCCCTCACACGTTTCGTGGCCCCATAGGGAGCTCCACCGAAGGCCCCAGTGCGCCGCCCGCATGCGTCCCGCACACCCATTTCGGCACACCCCTCACACGCTTCGTGGCTCCATAGGGAGCCCCACCGAAGGCCCCAATGCTGCCGCCCGCATGCGTCCCGCACACCCATTTCGGCACACTCCTCACACGCTTCGTGGCCCCATAAGGAGCTCCACCGAAGGCCCCAATGCTGCCGCCCGCATCCGTCCCGCACACCCATTTCGGCACACTCCTCACACGTTTCGTGGCCCCATAGGGAGCTCCACCGAAGGCCCCAGTGTTGCCGCCCGCATGCGTCCCGCACACCCATGTCGGCACACCCCTCACACGCTTCGTGGCCCCATAAGGAGCTCCACCGAAGGCCCTAGTGCTGCCGCCCGCATCCGTCCCGCACACCCATTTCGGCACACCCCTCACACGTTTCGTGGCCCCATAGGGAGCTCCACCGAAGGCCCCAGTGCCGCCGCCCGCATGCGTCCCGCACACCCATTTCGGCACACCCCTCACACGCTTCGTGGCTCCATAGGGAGCCCCACCGAAGGCCCCAATGCTGCCGCCCGCATGCGTCCCGCACACCCATTTCGGCACACCCTTCACACGTTTCGTGGCCCCGTAGGGAGCTCTACCGAAGGTCCCAGTGGGTGTGCCCGTTCGCGTCCCGCACACCCATTTCGGCACACCCCTCACACGTTTCGTGGCCACATACGGAGCTCCACCGAAGGTCCGACTGGGTGTGCCCGCATTCGTCCCGCGCACCAATTCCGGCACATCCTTCACGCGCTTCGTGGCCCCATAGGGAGCTCCACCGAAGGTCCCCGTGGCGCAGTCCGCATGCGTCCCCCCCACCCAGTACACCTCCGTCGGCGGCCGTCGGAGTTCCGCGCCTCGCTCGCCCGTCGTCGCTCTGCCCAGCGGCAAAAGCCTTGCCCGCTATCAGCCAGCCAGCTATCTCTCCTTGCTGCGCGCAGCGGACGACCCGCGTGCGTCGCTGGGACCCCTCCGGGGCGACCTGCGCGCGTCGCTGGGACTCCGCGCTGCGCTGCGCCCGCAGCCTTGGACTGTTGAGTGCGCGGGCAAAGAGGGAGTAAAAGAAGGGGAGGAATCGGGCGCGATCATCGCGGTGGCGTCGCGGCGCGCGGGCGATGTCGTCCGGGAGTCCCGGGGAAGCTCCTTGCGGCGGCCACGCCCAGCGTCACGAGTATTCAGAGGCAGTCATTCTCAAACGATTGACATTCATATACAATCGCACTATGCTTTGTCATACTCGCATTCATGCACGTAGACTCGCTCGTACGCAGATTCATTCACAGTCAGACGCACTCGCGCTCAGATTCACCCGCGCTCAGCCCCCCCTACGTACTCAGATCAATCGTTTTCGTTCGCGTTGTGTACCACGCCACTCATTTCGGCACACCCCTAGCACGGTTCGTTGCTTCATAAGGATCACCACCGAAAAAGGGAATCACAATTGAGGTACTCACACCTGCATATGGTTGGGTCCCTCGTCAGGCTAATTTTGAAGGGAAACGCGTCTCTGCGGACCCTGTTATGTAGGGACATAATTTCCTCGAGCGGGCACGCGCGAAACACATTATTTCAGAACGAAATCAGTTTTTACTTCGCTACCTATCGCAAATAATTCCGCCAGCCCACCTCAAATCGTCTCAGGGGGTAAAACCAACCACAAGAAAACCCTGGGCCACCCCACGAACCCGGAAAGGGATCTGGAAATGTGAAGCATGGCAACGTGTTCAAGACACCTGATTAGGCGACAAACACTTGCAATGCTGAATGTATCGATCTTGGTGTTCCGTGCCCAGGGCTGTGCTGTGCTGTGCCATGCTGAACTGCGATGTGCCATGCCGTGATTGTGGTCTATAGCATTGTGGATCGAGTCCTCATTGGCATTCGATTCCTGACCGAACTGATCTGGATCGTAAGCTCGAGCTGCCTGAGCGCATAGTAGCCGCCCCAAAGCTAGTTGAAGTGGAAACGTGCAGGACGTTCAATCACCTCGATCTCAAAATCCGACTCAGCTCCGAAAAGGAACGACATGACACGGGGCACAGGCTCACGGACGCGCCACAGAATGTGCCAGGGGCGCAATAGGGGATGCGCAAGGAGACGTGTCAGGGGACGCGTCAGGGGACGTGCCTTGGACGTGTCAGGGACCTGCCACGGGACGTGCCAAGGCGCGTGCCATGGGGCGGCCAGAGGACGTCATGCCAAGGGACGTTGCAAGGGGCCCGCCACGGAACGGGCAGGGGAAACGCCCAGGAACGAGCAAGGAAACGCGACAAAGGACGAGCCAGGGAACGTGCCACGCCGAGTGGCGTGCTA